GGCTCAGCCCCGCAGCCAAGATGGCGGCACCTCAGGGAAAATATATTTAGGAAAGGGCAAAAACATGACACAGGCAAAGTAAGGAGTGAGGGAAAAAGTGAGAGAAACAACTCTGCAGACACCAAGGTCAGTGAAGAAGGAGGGGAAGAGGTGCAACAGGCGCCAGAGCAGAGACTGTCCTGTGGACAGGACCATGGTGGAGCTGTGGTAGCCAAGCTGCAGCTCATGGAGACTCCATGCAGGAGCAGGTTTATCCTGAAGGACTGCAGCCCATGGGAAGAACTCATGCTGGAACACGGGAGAAGTGTGAGGAGGAAGGAGAGCAGAGAGGAACTGTTACAGACTGACAAACCCACCCTGCTCCTCATTCCCTATCCTATGAAGGAGTGAGGTTGAGCCTGGGAAAAAGCAGGGAGTGGGGAAGGTGTTTTAGTTTTTGTCTTTGTTTCTCACTATCCAAACCTGGTTTAGTTGGCAATAAATTTCCCCATGCCAAGTCTGTTTTGCACATGACAGTAACTAGTAGGTGATCTCCCTGTCCTTATCTGGACCCACAAGCTTTTCCATCGTATTTTCTCCCCCTGTACTGTTGAGGAGGGGGAATGAAAGAGTGGCTGTGGGTATCAGGCATGCAGCCAAGGTCAACCCACCACATATACCAATAACATTTTGCTTCATTTTATGATTATAAATTTGCTTGCCTTTTTTCCATATATTCCTGGCACTCCTTGATCTCCTTTAGGACCCCTTTCTCCCTAGACAAAATGTGTGTGAATAAGTTAATTTTTGAAATAGAAGTAGTTATATACAGATATATATACACAGTATACATGTACAGCAGACATAAAATGAAGAAGGCAAAGAGCTCCACCTGATATAAAAAAACAATCCTCAAGATAGTAAATGCAAATTTTGAATTTTCCAAGCTGTCCTAGGGGAGAAGCCCAGAATATCCAGCACTGCTGGTGAGAAAATCCACAGCTTGCAGGCTTAATGCTTCTGTTTTCAATGCAAGGCACTTTGAGTTTCTGGTCGCTGCAATATAGGTAGGTACCTAAGTGAAAATTCAGCTCTTTGAAAAGTGCTGCACTCTTCTGAAGACCTTATTTGAAAAGTTTAAAACACAAATTTGGAAAAACTAAGAAGTTAATTCAGTTGAGTACTAACACAGAAGAACAACTCCCATGAGTTGATGATGTTTTGGGGAACATACATGTAAAATAAACTCATTGGGTTAGACCAGAACAATCCTTCAAAATGCTGTCACTCAAATTGAATGACTTCAAGAACATTATATAATTTTTTTTTTTTTTACACATTATTTGTGATGAAGGAGGTTCTAAGTAGTAGTAAAATCAAAGTTCAAAGTAATTAATATAGACCCATTGAACAGAACAAAAATTAAAAAAACAGGCGGTTTCTATTGCTTGATATGTATGTAATGAAGTCCCATGGCATGTATCTTCCTTCAATTTCAGCATCATATCTATTCATTTTATGTAGTTCATCAAATGCACTGACATAATATTGTATATAAACTTATTTTTCCTTTAAATTAAACTATAGAGAAGCTGAAACACATGAATATTGTAACAAGAAATTCAACCTTTGGTGCTGGCATCCCATGTAATCCAGGAAAACCAGGTAGTCCACGGTCACCCTAAAAGAGCAAACATATTTTAAATCCTTATATCTACAATAGGAGTAATATACTGTAATAACATTCATATTCTCAATGATCAACAAATAGTGGAAAGACGTTATGTATCACTATATCAACTACATAACATTGGCACACTGACTGATGAGAGTTTGTTGATCTTTAAACAAGATTCAACATATAAAAAGAAAAAAATAAACAATCACTAAATTTTTTAGAACAAATTTACTGTAATCTTTCAATAAGTCTTATGGAGTTTCAAAAGTAGCAATTTAGCTTTGACAAGAGGAAAAAAAGCTTTCAAAAGAGCTTTGAAAATCTCTGCAGGAGCTGTGCTAATTCTATCATTCCCGAGGAATAAGGAAAACCCCTAAACCTGGGGTGGCTTTGCTCCTACCTCTTACTGAAAATATCAGAGACCTACTGACCTTATCAAATTTCTCACCAGCTTACTCTGGATGAGTGAAGTATTATAAAATAAGGTATTAAGTACTTTATCTAAAAAATAAACCAAATGAAACCAAAACACACTGATAAAACAACTTTGACACAAAGTTCAAATGAGTTCTCATTTCAGTGGGAGAAGGAATCCACTTTGGTAAAAGCAGTTGGCAACTGAAAACACAAGACAAAACATCAGTTCTTTTTATTGTCCTCACAGGTGTCAGGTATCAGGATTTCCAAAACTTTTGCTACTGGTACTGAAGATATTTATCTGACAATTTGTCTGCAAGCTTCCTTGAGCAATTACAACAAAAGGCTAAATTATAACTTGGCACTCCGTGACTTGAAACAATGAAAACAAGCTTAGTTGCTTGTTTCAGTAGACTGGATCTACTTCAGTCAGGACAAAGAGCCAATCACCAAATCATTTTTGGACAATCACAATGTCTTCTCTCTGTTAATATCTAACTTTATATTGAGCAATATATTTCAATATGTTTAAAATATTTCTATCATAATGGAGGAATAGTAAATCATGCTCAGGAAGATATTTTATGTAATATTTCAAGTTCTAAAACAAAGGGTAAAAGAAAACATGTCTCAGTGGTATTTATCAAAGCCAGTCATATCTAAGCAGATTTGGAGAGATCTGTCACATATTCACAGAAGACAGGAACATGACCACAGGAGTGATAGCTTGTGGGTTAATGCTATCAAAATATCTCTCAACAAATAAGTATTGAAAACAGGCAATGGAACAGAGTTCAAAAAAATCAGCAAAGCTTATAAAATAAACACTTCATGCATCCATTGCTTCTTAATGAAAAAGAATGGAACCTCCATTTCTGCTCAGAAGTGGTGATTCAATTATTGGATAAACTAAAACACTTGGCAATGGAAACAGTTTTAAATAGTTGCTACAGAAACTTTACAAGTAATGGGATGAAATTAAGAGATGAAAATTTGGGCTGAATCATCAGGAAAAAAATTCTAATGGCAAGACCTATTTTACAATGGAAGAAGTTTTCTAAAACAGTGGTGGAAGCCCTATTTCTTGGCACATTTTAAAAAAGGCTGGACTGAGCATTAGAAAATATTCTATCTGTCACAACCCTGCAAAACAGAGTTTTACATCATCAGTATCTTACTTTCTGCACATGGCCCAATACTCACTGATCAATTAGATTAACATCTAAGATCAATTAGATTAAGATGCCTAAAGCACAGAACAAATGTCTGAGGTTTGTGTGGCAAGGTTTCGGTAGTGGGAGGGGCTACAGGGGTGGCTTCTGTGAGAAGCTGCTAGGAGCTTCCCCTATGTCCAACAGAGCCAACACCAGCCACCTCCAAGATGGACCCACCACTGGCCAAGGCCAAGCCCATCAGTGACGGTGGCAGCACCTCTGGTCTAACATATTTAAGGAGGGGAAAAAAAAAAAAACCCACTACTGGGACACAAACTGCAGCTGGAGTGCGGAGTGAGAATATGTGAGAGGAACGACTCTGCAGACACCCAGGTCAGTGAAGAAGGAGGGGGAGGAGGTGCTCCAGGCACTAGAGCAGAGATTCCCCTGCAGCCCCTGGTGCAGCCCATGGTGAGGCAGCTGTGCCCCTGCAGCCCATGGAGGTCCCTGGTGGAGCAGATATCCACCTGCAGCCCATGGAGAACCCCACACCAGAGCAGGTGGATGTCCCCAAAGGAGGCTGTGACCCCGTGGGAAGCCCACGCTGGAGCAGGCTCCTGGCAGGAGCTGTGGACCTGTGCAGAGAGAGGAGCCCACGCTGGAGCAGGTTTGCTGGCAGGACTTGTGACCCCGTGGGGGACCCATGCTGGAGCAGTCTGCTCCTGAAGGACTGCACCCTGTGGAAGGGACCCACGCTGGAGCAGTTTGTGAAGAGCTGTAGCCTGTGGGAAGGACCCACGTTGGAGAATTTCATGGAGGACTGTCTCCTGTGGGAGGGACCCCATGCTGGAGCAGAGGAAGAGTGTGAGGAGTCCTCCCCCGAGGAGGAAGGAGCAGCAGAGACGATGTGTGAGGAGCTGACTGCAACCCCCATTCCTCGTCCCCCTGCGCTGCTCGGGGGGAGGAGGTAGAGAAAATTGGGAGTGAAGGTGAGCCAGGGAAGAAGGGAAGGGTGGGGGAAAGGTGTTTTAAGATTTGGTTTTATTTCTCATTACCCTACTCTGTTTTGATTGGTAATAAATTAAACTAATTTCCCCAAGTCAAGTCTGTTTTGCCTGTGACGGTAATT